AATAACAGTACAAAAAACCATGTGGTCAACTTGGGATGTTTCTAAGGTGCCACTTCAATACATTTAAACTGGTATTTACAGGAAAAAATTATGCATTTATCCTGCCTTTCCAATTCATTATGTTTATTAGAATTATTAAAACACGAAGACAAATTTCTCTAAAGTTGTTCGAACACTCAGAAGAAAAATAATTCTGAGTCTGTCTAACCAAATATCTCATGTATTGGACATCCATACACTAACTTTGAAGAATAAACTGTAGCATAGCCCTAAGAAACAAACAAAAGTAAAATGTGATTTCTACCCCATGTTCCTAAGGAGTTAATTTTTCAAATATATTGATTTCCCCATTGCCTAGGAGGCAAAATCCCAACTCCTAAGCCTTGAATATTCAAAGTTCCTATCACTCTAGGCCCAAACTATCCCTCCACATATGGAAACAGACCATGGGAATAGAAGCTCTCGGGAATCATTGGAAATTGTAGGAAGGCCAATGATTGTCACACCATCATAGACTGGGTATAACCACTATATTTGGACATGAGAGGAAGCATGCCTTCAAAAGGCTGGATGGAGGACTTGGGTTGTACAAAGGCTACATCAAACATGATACCACAGAATTATATTTATATTATACATATATTCACATTGTAAATCTACATCCATCATTTGTGACACAAATCTAATAATCTTGAGTATATTTTTACTGTAATATTAATACATAGAGAAAACCAGGAGGCACTTCCAATAAATCTGGCAAAAAAGAAGCATCATTAGAGTGACTAAGCTAAAAGTGAATAAAAATAAATACAATTTATCTAATAATTTTTCTGTACAGATTCTACTGTTTACAAAACATGTATCAGCCATTAACTATGTCATTTAACAAACAGTATTTATAATAAGATGACACAAAGTATTGCTATATATATTAGGTGCAAGAGACAGTTGAGAAGACAGATTTATTTTTTAATTGCAAAATGATTACTTAAGTCAAATGCCTCACTCGTAGGTTTTTAAACATTGATAAATTTGGAACAGTTTTAATAAACATATTCAGTTGTTAAAAGTCATGAGAATTACATTCTCATGTATAAATGACATCCCTTACACTGTTACTTTGGTTGGTCGTTGTTTGAAAATATTGCTTTTTAGGAATGCTAAATTAAGTTAATACTCTCTGGTTTGCAAATATCCTACAAATTCAAATGTTTGAGACATGATAATTTTAAAGTTCCAATGATAGTTTTATGCCAGGAAGAGGTAACGACTGGTCAGCACAATATGCCTCCTCAGGAATCAACATATTTTAACACCAAAAACTGAATCAAATCAATCCAAACAGAAACAACTCGAGATTGAAATTGAAATTATATCAGTTAAATATCCTAATTCAATATAGAAATCCAGGGAGAATGTGAATTTCATCATTTTGCATTGACAATTTCAGAATATTTATCAAAGCACCAATTTTCATTTTATAATTTGCATGATAAAAATCTCTAGGAAGAAATAGCAGGGGAGGATGGGTTTAGTGATATTTATTTGCAGTGCTTGTCAACTAATACATTGTCCTGTTGGAACAAAACTGCTATGAGTTCTGTGAGAATATACCAAAAAATGAACTACACTCAAGAATGAAAACAAACAAACACTAGTGAAGCATACATAACATGGTAATAATCCCATGCAAATATTTTACAGAGTATTAAAAATAGTGATCTTTAAACTAATGAACAAATATATACTAAAGTTCAAGCCACTTCAATTCCACTAACAGGTAATATATAGATATGTTAGGGCTATTATTTAAAGATAGTAAGACTACAGTACTGGATTATGCTTATAATAGCTAAAGCAAAGTATCTGACAATATGGATTTAAAATCAAACATAATCAGTTAAATTTTAAAAGAAAGGTGATGGCAATTCTATCAGCAACAAGTTATATAAACGAAGAAGAGATCTTTAAGTAATTATTTTTAATTTCACATTGAACCATCTGAATAGTTTGCTATTCTAAAGGAGCAAAATTACTAATATATTTTTTAAAAAATCCTTCTTTTCAAAAGTATTCAAGCAGCAGTTTCAAAGCTCCAAGGGCTAATTCACATTCTGAAACATGTAAATGCTGATTGTAATAAATGAAATCAGGATTGAAATATGGATCCATTAGGCCATCAAGTCCCTTTAGTCCAGAGTAACTAATAACTAACTAAATTGGTTGTCATAAAATTGAGAGGTGTACTGGAATGATCCTTGAAGTTTTATGTAGTGTTCATTCCCAATGCACAGTTCTGCCTTTTTTTTTCTTTTCTTCTTTTTCACTATTTAGTAAGATGGGCTGTACAATAAAACTAGGTGTGCCAAGTTAGAACTTGAGGTGAAAGGTAACCTCCTTATTACAGCAGAGGAGAATTTCTAATTAGTTTTTTTTTTTTTTTTTTTTTTTTAACTAACTTTGAGTTAGAGAAGTAGAATTGAGGAGAAGCCCTATTTCCCTCCCTATGCCTTTGATTTTTTTTTTTTTTTTTTTTTTTAGATGACAGGAAGCAGTTTCTGTTTCATTGGAAATAGGTATTTCTACTGACACCGAAAATTTAATTAAAGCATTAAAGCTTTACAAATATTTTTAAGTACTTTTCTGTTTATAAATTTCAAATTCCAACCTACCATTTATATCACTCTTGGCACATGAATGCAGTGGGTGTGGTTTATTGACTGCTCAGCGTTTCATCTGTGGAAGTTAAGATTAATAAGATTTAATTTTCCTTGGTAATGAAGATAAGTATTTAGGTTTTAAATTGCATTATAATTTAGTAAGATATAACTTCTATTAATTTACCACTTACCTTATTAGCTAAAACATGATTAAGTTGGTGGAAAATACATTCTTTTTTCTTAGGGTAACTCAGAAATCTGAGTATAATTTGTACGCTTAATCTAATTAAATTATTGGGAGTAAATTTCTCTATCACATGTATTTATTAGACTCTTTATAAAACATTTTTCTCCCTGAGTTAAAGGACAATAGAAAAAATATTCATCATTACTGTTTCCTGCTTCATAATACTAGTTCTGATTACATAAAAAATTAAGCATCTCTATATCATGGAATGTCATTATGTGGGTTTCATTTAAATTGAATAATAAATTAATAGCTTTGGTTAAAAATAAATCACATTTAAATATTTTTGGAAGTACGTTTGATAATTAAATATTACTATCTGTGAAGCATTTTTATTGCATGGTTTGCATGATTAAAAATGATTTCTTGGTATGAAGCAATGAGGAAATCTATCTGAACATGGACATATTCAGTATTTCTTACCAATAGGAGAAGGCTTTTCTTTTGTGCTCCACCACTCTTCAGTGAAGCAGAAATCCAGATACCAACACCTGTCAATATACTCTACCTCAAAAGTATAATATGGAGAATTTGGATTCTTTTTAGAGCGTTAGGCATATGTCAAAAGCTAATTTTGCTTTCCATCTATATATCATTTTATATAATTTATTGTCTTACCTGCACTCAAGTAATTTATATTGGACAAGTATTTTTAAAGCAACTTAACATTGAGTTCTAACAATAAAACAAATCCTTAATCTTCAGTTTGTCAAATATATTTAGCAAAAAAATGCCCAGTTATTATTTTTGTCACCGTTGTTAACCTGCTGTTCGAATGACTCCATAGTCTGAACATAAAGATAAGTTTGGGCAAGATGAAAGAATCCTTAAGTAAGAAAAAAGCAGCATCATTTTAGCAAATGAAATTGTCTAAAATCCATGGTGTGTAACAGACTGAAAAACATGTTTGTGTTCTTCTCTGACTGTGGTTCTTTAGTGTGAAACATACAAATGCTTACAGAAATTCAATTTAAGTTCTTTATCTAATGCATGGTTAGCAGCTTAATTTACTCAGTGCTTATAGTTTAAGTAATTCAACCCCAAATTTTCAATAGGAATTTGAATGTTTTCTAAAGGAACAAACCGATAGAATATAGGACTGAGCCACTGGCATTATTTTCCTCTGATTAGAAATTCTAAGAATAATTAAGTTTTGGAATGCCTAAAATGGCTAATCTGTCTCCTACTTTAAAGTTTTAATTTTGTAGAATAAGAAAAATGAACAGATGATATCAGCAAGTTCAGTTTTGCCTCATGGAAAATATCATGAGAGAAATGAATGAACTAGAGCAATGGGCACAAAGTATTTTGCTGCTTGTTAGGAGAGAAAGTGAATGAAAGAAACCCAATTTTGTTCAAAGTATGTAGATACTTTAGCTATCAATTGTATAGAGTTTAGCACTGAAAATTTGATTGATTCCCCCCCAAGCATTATTAATAGTCTCTATTAGTAATATAGGAATATCTTGATTTACTCTAGACCAGCGGTCGGCAAACTCATTAGTCAAGAGCCTAATGTCAACAGTACAAGGATTGAAATGTCTTTTTGAGAGCCAAATTTTTTAAACTTAAACTTCTTCTAATGCCACTTCTTCAAAATAGACTTGCCCAGGCTGTGGTATTTTGTAGAAGAGCCACACTTAAGGGGCCAAAGAGCCGCATGTGGCTCGCGAGCCGCACTTTGCTGACCACTGCTCTAGACTATGAAAGTTTTCAGAACTCTGTTTTACTGGAGCCTTCTGACAGTTTAAAAGGCAGTTTCCTCCTAAAATGGCAATATAAACTAGAAAATGCATTAAGCAGAAATCAGGGTTTGGTTGGAAGAAAAGGATAATAAGACCCTTATTGTGGTTTTCATTATTATTTTAGAAATATTGAAAATAAGGACAGTGGAGATCTGACATAGAAGTACCAAAAAGACTTTCCAAAGTAGAATAGATGATAATGTTTTGATTATTCCCTTCTCATTAATCAAAAATTGTTCATCACACAAATAGTTCACATTTGTAAAGCAGTTATTTCAAACTTTAAACTTTATTTACAATGATAATTTTCATATCTTTATTACTTAGAAAATAATTTATGTTTTTCCATCATTTAAACAAAGTATAGGCCTGAGACTCATGCCTTTTGCACAGCTTTTTACCTTCAAGGAAAGTTCTCTGGGAAAGTGACAGGGACATCAGGAAATCACGAACCAAGAGAGGCAGGGGACATGAGGAAATCGCAATACATACATGTAATGTGAACAGTCTACATGACATGCAACCCCTTTTCTTCCATCTTACTGGGATTGCAATGATTGGAACTTGTTCTGGAATTCCATCAAAATGGGCTGGACATAGTTGGATATTCTGTTTTTTAGAAAGTGGATATTTTCTTAAACGTAATAAAAAATTCTTTGTCAGATGAAGACCAATAGATACATCCCTGTACAGAGCTACTGTCTTCATCGTCTGCTGAGAACAAAACCAGGTGTAATATAAAAGAGAAAAAAATTACACTTGAAAAAACATCCTAGGGTGGTGTTTTCCCAAAGAAACAATATTTTAGAAGTTGGCTTAGATGACTGGAAAGACATTCTATCAGCATGGTAGAAATTAACATAGATAACACTCTTTTCCTCCATGAAGAACCACCACTAGCATCAAGGCTGTTAGTTCCAACCTTTTCCACCATTGGTTTCATGGCTGTCTATACAATCCTCTTTCCCCCTAAATGGGCCAGACATTCCTTCATTTGAAAGACCTGAGTTTATCAAATGGCACCTAGAAATAGACTCATATAAAAATGTAACAAATTGCAACAAATACACTTCAAGGATCTGGAGTTGGAAATGAACACAATAATATTAGGGGGAGAACTTCACTGGCAGAAATAATTTTCTATGACCCTAGGCATCCTTTGGGATGTGCTGGGTGTGTATGAAAGCCACGTACTTGATGAAATCTTTGTTCGATTTATTTCGATATATTTCTGAAGAAAAATGACCAGTCTGCCTAGACTGATAAACACAACTCTGGCATGAGGAGGTTCCAACTGCTTTGGCCATCATTACTTCATGTACTTTCAAACAAAACAAACAAAAACAGGCAGTTCACTGAGACCTGTGCTCTGGCCTTCGCTTGGGGTCAAGCAGCTTGGACGAAGCTGCTCAGATAAGGTTACAGACTTACATCTGTTCTCCTGCCATTCTCCTGGCTCCACACCTAGATTTTTTCCTGGGCTTATATTTATTTTAGGAAAGTATGGCATTTGAAGAAGGTGGGGAGGGAGAAATATTAGTGTGGTTAAAGGAATTAGATTTAAGCGGTATGTGAGTATAAATCCTTTTTTCCCCCTTTCTCTTACTTGAAAGGGAAGGAGAGTAGTTAAGTTAATTGGGGAAATGTACTGACTCAAAATAACTTTTGCAAACATAAAGGCACATAGGCAATACTAAGAAATTAGAAAACTCAGTAAGTCCTAAACATTGAAGACAAAAAAAACAAAAACAAAAAAAAACACCCCCAAAACAACAACAAAAAAAATCCCCAGCAAATATCGTCATTATGTAGAGTCTGCAACAATTTCATTCTTTCAATATTTTCATACTTATTGGGAAATCTGCCTTGAAACCATGTTATTTTTTATTGTATTATCTTTGCCTTGTTTGACAAATGTCATAAATTGCTGTAAAATCATTGCTTTGGAATGGAAAAATAATCACTTATGAGAAACAAAGGCATTTTTAATGTAAACACTCTTTTCTATGATGTCAGAAGAAATAAAAAGTAAAAAATCACAATCAAGACTTACTTAGGAGCTTGCTTAGATGATGAGCAGGTGTGCCTACAGTACTGAAGGAAGAATCATACCCACAGAGTGTTGGGAAGAAATGGACACCAATGATAAGCTTTCGGTGCCATTTAAAAAGCCTTTCACTTGGGAGTCATGGACCCAAACGCTACCTAAAGGTTAGCAAAAGTTACTAGTGAAAAAACATTTTTGCAGCATCCTCATTTAATTGGCACAAAATAACTGCATCCGATTATCATTTATATCAGAGTAGGTAGAAGAGCAGCCATCCAAAGACCTCCATTCAAATGAATCCTCTCTCTCTCACTCTCTTATTGGACTTGGAGATAGCTTCAATGTATAAAAATGGTGACTGAAATGTAACTTTATAAAAATGTTCCATTTTCCCTTCCTTTTTTTTTTTTTTTTTTTAAAAAAAAAGTTTACTATCTACAGAAACAAACAAACAAAAAATCTTTATATTTACACCAAGATAACTATTCATGACAAATACAATAATATGAAATAAAATATTGAAAGTGAGTATCAACTTTTTAAATAGAGGTTTGGCTCACAGCATAAACAAGTGTAGATAAACAAACAAATCAGGAAAAAAAAAAAAAAAAGACTCTCAATAACAGGCCCAGTCCCCCCAAGCCCTTCCATGGACTTCCCTGCCAAAAGAAGCGTGACAATGGGCCAGATTGCAGACAGAAGCTACCTCATCACACAGCACGTGGAATACCACAACAGGGTTGGTCAGTGGGCCCTTTGCCACCCAAAAGCCAGTCTCCAACAGCTGCCAAGAATCAGGCTTTCCCTGTTCAACCAACACCAAACCCTAGTTTGAAAGTTTCCCCACTCGACTCTCACATGGTTTTTGCTTGCCTTCCTCCTTTCTTTTTCTGTTTTCTATCATGTGTAGTTTGGAGCACAACATGGGGATCACCATGAAGAGCAATTCCCAGCTCTTCTCTGGAAAACCTTTTAGAATTCTCACCTGGCGAAAAGACGACTCCAGCTTGTTCCTAGGAGTTTATGCATAAAGAATGCCATCCCCTTCATGGTGATTTGATCTTAGGTGAGTGACAGGCATACTCGCAGACAAACAGCCCCTACACATTCATTAGGCCAGCAGATGGGAAAACGCCTCAGACTTCCACAGCTAAGGCTGGTGATGGGGAGCCTCTAAGCGTTGTTTAGCATCACGTGGCCCTCTCACCCAGCCCGTGAACACCCTCCCTCTGCAGAGGGACCTTTATTGAAGCTAAATGGAGGAAGGGCATTGGGAATGGCTGCCTCTCAGACACTCCAGAGCGAACGTCCCTCAGTTTGTTCACATGTGTTGAGTCATCTGCTGGTGGAATTCTATAAATTACTAACCTCAAAAGTCTCTCTTTACATGCACACTGACATCCATACCCACAAACACCCCATCAATCCTGTCTCTCTCTCTCTCTCTCTCTCTCTCTCTCTCTCTCACACACACACACACACACACACACACACACACACACAAGCACGCACGCACGCACACACATTGGTAGGGTGTATAAGAATTCAGATAATTCTCTGGAACGTTCATCCCTCAGTCCTAAGAGCAAAAGCTTCTTAGTTGTAACCTACATTTACTGCCCTGTTCCCTGCTTAAGCCTCACCATTTCCTTCGTTTTCCTTTATTTTTTTCTTTTACGATTTATTATATCACAGTGACCACTATATATCTTAATATGAATGTTACTAAAAGGTGGAGCCAGTACTTCTGGCTTTCAGTGTTGTGTGTGTGTGTGTGCGTGTGTGTGTGTGTGTGAATATGTTTTACTTGTATCTACGTGAGAGCTTATATATATACACACACACACATATATATATTTCTTCCTTTAAAAAAAATCTTTAGAAGCTGGTGTTGCAAGGTGAAAGCTTCTTCGAGCAAGAGTTTTTAACCATGTACCTCACTGTAAAAATGAACACATAAAATGCGAAGACTCCCCAAATGCAATGGCCATTTGCCCATCTTCTCGTATTTCTACAGTGTTGTGTCTAAGTGCTGTGCTGGCTTGGAAAGAGTCTGTGATGAGTCACTGGGTTTCGAGGCAGCGCTCATTCTATCCACTGTCACTGGTTTGGCTGTGGGGTCAGGGTCTCCTCTTCTCTCAGCTTCCCCTTCTCTTCTTCTTCTTCCTTGATGGCCTGGATGTGTTCTGAGGAATGCTGTTGGGGAGACTGGTCCGGAGACTGACTTTCGATTCCCGCCAACCGCTGCTCCTCCTCAATGACTTTCTTCCACATCGTGTGGTTCTCCACAAGGTGCTGAGTTATTTGGCAGCAGATTTTCCTCCTTTTGAATGTTTTCTTTCCTGAGAAAACACCAAACGAGACTACTTATTTGTGTGTTGAATGCAACAGTTATTTCTTTTCACATTGTTAATGGGAATTAGGTACCAAATGGATACAGAGATCTATCACTGGACTTGTGTATGGTAATAATGTCATTTCCAGAAGAGGGAGATGGCAATCACCATTGATATAGCATTGAGGCAGGTCTCTGAATGGCAGTTGACATTTGGTTATGTCAATACAAGGTTCTGTTGGTATCTTGGTAATATTACTCCCACTCCTTCAGACTCTCAAGACTTCTCACCGAAAGATGACTAACATAACTTCTTGCTATGCCTTCCTTTACTTTGTTAACCAGCTCAACTCACAAGAGTCCACACAATTGATGTCTTTAAAGATGGTTTTGATGTTACTGCTCTGCTTCATGTGCACTAATAAATCAATTTCAAACTCCTCTCCAAGCCACAAGCTGGCACAAACCCACTTTTGCAGTCTTCCTCCATCTGCAGGCAGCTTTCTATCTGCACTCACCTGCCCTCTTTTCTGTACGTACACTGAACTCTTCCACTTCCTAGCTGGTACAGCCCCTCCTTCCAAAATGCTCATGTCCATTTCTTATATTGAAATCCAGTCACATTTTATTGAATTCCTCTTCTAAGTAAAATATTTCAACCTCTCTCTCTTAATCTCTCTTGTCACTCTACATATTCTTCTCACAGCAGATAGTGTTTCCTGTGCTTTAAAAAAAAATTTTTTTTTAAATTTCTCGTGATCATTATCTCTTTTTCTGGAAATTAAACATTCAAAATCATTTAGGGAGAGTGACCCTTTCTTTCAGTTAGGTAGTTCTAGGGAAAAGGCAATCAAATTCAACTTCCTCATCACTTCCAACAACATAGCTCTGTCCCAGTGATTGGCCAGTGCACAGGTATGGAACCCAACTCAGGCCTATCAGAGTCCTTCCCTGGGACTTTTACTGTTGGTGCAGCATGAGCATGAGGTCTGGGAGTCAGGTTTGGAGATCTTTTCTTCTCTGCTAATGTATTTGGAGTGAAGTTAACATAGAGCAAGATTGAAAGAACAAGCCGTTAGGCAAATGAGTCAGAGATAAGAACAGGAGCAAGTAAGCTCTAATACCAGCCACCATTATGTTTACATGAGCCAATGATTTCTCTTTCTCATATATATTCATTTGATTGAAGTTTTGTCACTTGTATCAAAAACAATGTCCTAAATCCTCAAAGGCACTTATCTTATTCTCATAGGTTCCAGCTCCTTTATTAGATCACAGCGTCTCTGTGAAGAACTGTACAGATCTTATACATGGCAAGGCTCAGCAAATATGCATCTCATAAACAGATTACATTTACTTGTGTCCAAACAATTTAATGTTTTCTATATGGAAGTACCGAAGACAATTTTCACAGAAGTGCATGTCTTAATGGAAGAAATGTAATAAAATTAGTTTCAAGGGAAGAAACATAAGCTGTTTTTAATACTTTGCATTGATGCCATAATTTACGATTGAGACTTCCAATACTTATGTATTTGTTCAGCACCTAATATGTCCTGTGTGTGCCACTGTCTGGTGATTCACCGATAGGCAAGATAGATACGGTACTTGCCAGCATGGAGCTTTTACTCTAGCGGGAATCTATAGAGTGAACAAGCACCTACAATTATATTGAGTTTTAGAAAGTCTTCGAAAGGTAGCAGACTGAGAGGGAAATGTCTAACCTGGGAGGATTCTGCATGATGACGGTGGTTTGAGCTAAGATGAGGTAACGAAAATGAAGATAGATAAATGTGAGACATATTTGGGAAGCTCAATCAATATGACTTTGGCATCTCATCAATATGATTAGATGTAGGAAATAAGAGGGAGGAATCAAAGACAACCCTGAACTGTCTGGCCGGAGCAGCTGAGTAGATGGTGGTATGATGTCCTGGGAAAGGAGGCATCAGAGGAGGAGCAGATTAGAGGGGTCTATTGAACATAAAGCGTCGGAGAGACCTACAAGAGGAGAGATAAAGTAGACAGTTGACCTTGAGCTGAGAAGAGAGGGCTGTTCTCTTCTAAGCTTCCAGAATATAATGTAAGGCTCAGTATTTTCATCTGGGTGACCATTTTAGACTCAGGTGAAGACTTTGTAAATTAGGCTAAATCCTACCATTAGACTATAAGCTTCCCTATGGAAAGAAGCAATTCCCCCTTCTTGTGTGTATATCCACAAAGCTCCAGCCTTTTGTAAGTATTCAGTAGAAGTTTAGCGAATGAATCATGTTTTCTCTAGTTTCTGTTCCAA